TGTGTGTGTGTGTGTGTGTGTTTCTTATGTAATAATGACCCCAGCTGGAACTGACAGACAAATAAACCAAAAAGCACAAGTTCACCTTTGGTAATATAATTTTTTAAATTATTTTTATTTTTTTAAATTCATACACTTCATGGCTTCATTCATCTCCATTTCTAATTTAACGTTTATTTAATTTCTTCCCTTTTTTTGGAGGGGGTTGATTATTTTATGAAAACTCTCATCAATGATTTTAAAGAAATTTTAATATAAATCATTTTAGACAAATACATCAGATGAACAGCAACATAAACTTACAGGATGAATTCCAGTGTCTTTTCAACATCAACCTCAGTGTTTCCAACAGTCAGAGGAGATTTGACAGTTTTCATGTGTCCCGCCCACATATTCTTCCCACAAATACATGTTCCTTACAAATGTGGTTCCGTTTAAAAGAGAAATAAACGTCTTTCTAATAGTAGATTTATTGAAGCACTGTTATAAGAGCTTAGATCAATTAGTGTGTCCTCAGATGACCTGTCTCTGTGTGCTGCTGTTGTTCCACCAGCAGAGGGCGCTGCAGGTTTAACCACCTACCTGACAACAGCCTCAGTTTAATGCATCAACAAGAGTTTCCTTAATTATTAAACTCATTTTTATAGACTTTCTTTAATCGATGTTTCTGTAACACAGTTTTAAGGAGTTCTGGAAAATTACCAGTTATTTTGGCAGACACACTTATTTTGTGGGGTGGATTTGCCAAACACAGGTGGCATTCACACCTAACGGGACCTGAGTCCAGTACCCATAAGGTAAGATCCATTGGTGGATCTGGGTTTAGGATTAGGACTAAGGTGTAAATTGAGTTTAGGTTAGTTTTAGGGTCAGGTAGCTAAAAACAGCAAAAGGCTAGCTAAAAATAGCAAAATGCTAGCTAAATAAAGCAAAAGGCTAGCTAAAAACAGTCAAATGCTAGCTAAAAAAGCTAAATGCTAGCTAAAAAGCTAAATGCTAGCTAAAAACAGCAAAATCCTAGCTAAAAAGCAAAATGCTAGGTAAAACAGCAAAATGCTAGCTAAAAACAGCAAAATGCTAGCTAAAAAAGCAAAATGCTAGCTAAAACAGCAAAATACTAGCTAAAAAGCAAAATGCTAGCTAAAACAGCAAAATGCTAGCTAAAAACAGCAAAATGCTAGCTAAAAAAGCAAAATGCTAGCTAAAACAGCAAAATGCTAGCTAAAAAGCTAAATGCTAGCTAAAAAGCAAAATGCTAGCTAAAAAGCTAAATGCTAGCTAAAAAGCTAAATGCTAGCTAAAAAGCAAAATGCTAGCTAAAAAGCTAAATGCTAGCTAAAAAGCTAAATGCTAGCTAAAAAGCAAAATGCTAGCTAAAAAGCTAAATGCTAGCTAAAAAGCTAAAAGCTAGCTAAAAAGCAAA